GCAGCTGCTTCCACGACAGCTTTGGCTGCACCAGCCTGCAACCATCTCTAGGACTGACAGATAAAATACAGGACTCCTATTTATTTTTTATTTTTTGGAGACAGGGTCTCGTTCTGTTGCCCTGGTTAGAGTGCAGTGGTATCACAGCTCACTGCAACCTCACACTCTGGGGCTCAATCGATCCTCCTGCCTCAGCCTCCCCAGTAGCTGGGACTACAGGCGTGCATGACCACGCCCAGCTAATATTTGGTAGAGACTAGGTCTCGCTATTGGCCAGGCTGGTCTCCAACTCCTCGCCTCAAGCAATCCTTCTGTCTCGGCCTCCCAAAATGCTAGGATTACAGGCGTGAGCCACTGTGCCCAGCCTGTTTCCATTTTATAAATGAGAAAATTAAGGCAGAGTCTTTCCCTGCCTGGTTTATCTCCATGTTTCCAATATGCATTTTTGATTCATCAATCGAGACATTAAGTATTAACTTTATATCATGTTGATGATTTTAGCTCACAGACCCCTTTTTCTTTGTCAATAGAACTCATTTTTTTTTATTGCTGTCATTTCCATGTTTCCATTATTATGACTACATTGTAATATACATGTACTTGGTTCAGGGAGTATTTCCTTTCTTGTATGATTTGTTGTTCCTGATAACTGCTTTTTTTCAATCTGCCTGATTTTCTTCTATCGTTTAAGTCTTCTCACATCCTCCATAGCGCTGTAAGATGTCCAACCTGTCACATACTCAGGTCTCGCCTTCTGACCATCAGTCTAGACTGGCTGCCCAGTGGCTTCACAGCCATCATCCTGAAACTTCACTTTATCTCACTCTTGTGTTCGATCCCATTTTTAGGCAGTACATCATACTTTTTCTTGATTTAATGTTTTGATGAAGTATATCAAGTAGCTTTCTAAGAACTGGTACATAAGATAATCTTTTGAGAACTTGCCCATCTAAAAATACCTTTATTCTATTGTCAGCCATGACAGTGTAGTTGGATGTATAATTTATCCAAACTTTTGAAGGTAGTGCCCCAATCCCCAATTGACCACTGATTTCCAACATTGCTATTAAGAATCTAAAGCTAGTATTAGTCCCAATTCTTTTGCCATTTGGTAATTTTTAGAATATTCTGCCTGGTGTCTTAAAATTTCATGGTGGTATGGCTTGGTATGGGTCTCTTTTTATTAAAGTGTTAATTCAATAATAGCTTTTTTCAATCTTGATACTCATCATTTCTTCAAGGAAGTTTTCTTGTATTTTTAAAATAAATTCCACCCATTCCCCGATTTTCTGTTTTCTTCCTTTTGGTTGCATGTCAAACCTCCTGAACTGATCCAACGTTATTTTTTCCCTCCACTTTTGATTTCTGTTGTAAAACATTTCCTTGTCTTTTATAACATTCTCACTGAATTCATTCACATTTTAAATTTCATATTTTGCTCTAGTTTCATGGGGTTTTTTGTTTGTTTGTATTTTTTTTTTTTTCCCCTGAGACAGGGTCTCCCTCTGCTGCCCAAACTGGAGTGCAATGGCACAATCATAGCTGGCTGCAACCTTGAACTCCCAGGCTCAAGCAATCCTCCCACCTCAGCCTCCCAAAATGCTGGGATTACAGGCATAAGCCACCATGTCTGGCTTCTAGTTTCTTGAATACATCTCTTATCTGAGGATATTAGTTCTTGGAAATTTTCTGATTCATGAGAGTTACTTTTTGTTTAGAGTTACCTTTCATAATCAAATTTCTGGTAATATCTGGCTGTCCCTATTTAAAAGTGAAGCACTCAAAACCTGTTTGGAATATTCGTGTACATGGGCAGGACTTACTGACTGGGACACTTCACTGAGAGGGACTGATGGCCAGTTGGCTTTTTTGGTGGTGACCCTCAAATGTCATCTCTCTCAGAAGTCATTTAATTTTTCCACAGAAGGGTCCTCCAACATCCCACCCAATATACATGTCTGTTGGTATTCTAGAGCTGAATAAGGATAAAGAGCTAGGGATCTTATTTATCCAGTATACAAAATTGTGCTTAATCCTTATTTTCTGTATAGCATAGCCTAGTAAAGAAGTTTACTTTTTCCTTTTTTAGTTGAATTACTACCACAGTAACCTCAGCCTCCAACTTTAGAAGCCATACTGTATTTACTGGTCAGTCTTGGCAAAAATCTCATCTCTGAAGCCAGTGCTGCAAACAACTGTTTGAATAAAACAGAAATTTCTAATAACGGAACTACACTCAAGACATGCTACTATTGACACCTGTAGTTTTCATGTTTGGTTAATCCCTCACCATCTATCCATATGAATTAAGGTCTCCAAATGAAGGGAGAAAATCCTATTCAACTGAGACATATTCATACATTTTATTAAGGTTCTTAAGTTATAATTCATCATTTTGGAGGTATGTTCTTCAAATTCTAAATATAATAGTCAAATGCAGTGACTGGAATAAAATGTAATAACCCTCTATAAAGAGATGATTGATTTTAGAAATCATCTCTCTCATTTGAACGGTTTGCTTTTTTTTTTTTTTGAGACAGTCTGAATGGTTTGCTTTTTTATTTCGTATAAACACATTTTGTTTTTCTAATTCAACCGTAGGCTCAGGAGCACCCTATGACACTTAGTAAACCTAACTCCCTTTGTAAATGCAATCTAGTTCTGATCACCTGCCTTCTCAAATGGAACAGAACTCTAACACACAAGTAAAAGGAAGATGAGCAAGCACAGGGACAAAACAGGAGAACACAAACTAGAATGTGAATCTCATTTTCTACATGGAGATAATATCAATAAGGAAAATGAGAAACTGGTTTTATAATTAATTAAATCTGCAGAATGCCAATTCTTTGTGGTATTAAACAGTAACCCAATACAAACCACTGTTTCTGGAATAGGATTTTTAAACATTAACAAATATCTGAGTGAATGTAACAATATAGCTAGACCAAAAAGAAAAATCTCACACACAATAATCACTGCAAGAAGATCCCACAGGTTATAGAAAACATAAAGGAACTTTAATATCCAAACAGTCAGGGTAAAGAATACTGAATTAATGACCCATTAAGTGTGAATCACTTCAGGTTCTTTACAGTACCAGAAAGTAAAATCTAAATGCATATTGCAGAGAATGAAACCATTTAAAAAACTTTAATTTCCTTACCTGATATTAATACCAGTCTGATTTTTAGACTGAAAAATCCTCCAATAATTTAACACTAAGATTTAAACCAGAGTTAGCAATGTTCCTGAAATGTGAATTTGTTCAGTAGTAACATTTTCATCATGAGTATTGACACCACTTTCTTCTCAAAAAGTAGTAGTCAATGAACATTTTAAGACTTGTGCAATAAGAAAATATGCTGGCTAATAAAAACTGTTATTACTTGAGTTAGTCAAAATTAAAGAAAAACTATACTTTTGTTTAGATTAAATTATTTATGCCCAAATAATTTACCCTGCAGTCCATGAGATGTACAGGAAATAAAATATTTTTAATAAGAGAAAAACAAGGGTCCTAAAATATAAACATAAGCCAGAAGAATCTAAAAAAATTTCCTGATTTTTTTTTTCTTTTTTTAGTATTTCATTTAAGCTGCTTTTGGTTGCATGCCCTGATCTGTAGAAGTTAACAAGGAAATTAAATTTCCAAGTATTTAAAAAATTTACTCATCTTCCATAAAGCAACTTTTAATGTATCAACACTTAAAAATACACAGTGACTTAATGAAACATCAGTACAACTGCATAGAATTGAGCTCCAGAGAATTATACACTTATAAGCTATCTTTCCTGGGCTCTGGTTTACAAGGGTATTGGCTTAGAGACCAGCTTAGAGTCATTTGCCCCTACCTGGAAGATACAGGCCAGGAAACTTAAGATTTCACAGGCCTTTCCTGTTTCTAAATAAAATGCTGGGAGCTCTCTAAAGGTCTTGAAAACCACCAACCATTCAAATATGTATACTGGGGACCGACCCTTCCTCTCTGTGAGTCAAGGAAGGAGGTTTGTGACCTTCACTGAAAACAAAACCTCCCACAACTTTTCTAAGAGACTCTGAAATGTACTAGAAATTTCAAAACTACAACAATGCCATCAAAGATTAAACCTCTTAATGCTTGGAGCCACCCCCAAATAATAAAATTGGGAACTCCAGGAAAACAGGTACCAAAAGAATCAAAATAATGATTGTACTGAGGATTCTCTTCTTTGAAGGCTGTTTAAGGAGGTAGGATTTTAAGGTTTTTTTGTTAATCTTTTGGCCTCTGAACATTTAAAAAATGCTTTGCCCGGCTGGTCCTTCAGGCTAATTTTGGAGTTCACAATGAAACTCAAGCCTGACATAAGGATATTCTACGGTTTCACAGCTATCATTTGTACATATTAAAATTAAGTTGATTTACTCTTTTTTAGTAAATCTAACTAGAAAACGGCAAATTAATATATTCCTTTACATACAACTTTGTGTCTCAAAATTCTTGAAAAACAAGAGCAGATGACTTTGTATTCAAAGACTACTAAAGTGTGTATTTGATTTTCACATGCAAACAACTTAAAACCTTATAAATTTCACGTCAACTCTGCATGATGCCTTTAAGAAGGAAATGACATACAAAGTTTGCTAACTGTGCAAAATATTAAATTGCTAAAACATTTTACATAATGAAATAATACATGTAAATGTAGAAGTTGACACATGAAATTAACATGGCATAAGAACTTATCACATTTCAGAGATTTTTTTTTTTTAGTAACAAGTTTTTGTTTTCATAGTTCCTGGTACACAGCAAAATTTATCACAGAAGATAAAAATCCTTTTAAACAAATCCAACAGGGAATTCTTGAGGCACCTTCTCATATAAAACACAAGATGAATGCAATTATCAATTCATCTGAGAAAAGTTTTCAATCTAAGTGAACATCATTTTTTCCATTTAAGTATATTTTACAGAACTTTAATAAGGCAAGACAAATCTGTGAAAAAATGTATACAAAAATGACGTAAACTAATAATTTATATTTAAAAACCTCAAAGGGATAACAGCATAGATGGGAGAGCTCAAACAATGCCTACTTTTTTAACCTAAAACAGAATTGTGCATAAGCTGAAGATTACCAAAGAACTTCTAGACTCTGCACAGTTTTGGTTTTTCTTTTCTTTTTTTTTACATCTTTATATTACATGTTTTAAATCATATCAGGAATGCAAACTAGAACTGCACACTACTTTAGTGGAAAAAAGTTCGACATTGTGCAATTTTCTGCCTCTTAATTTTTAAAAAGTGGCAGCAATCCCTGCATTTGTATTTGAAACAAGGATCTGAGAAACTTTATCAAAAAAAGGTAATGAAGGCAAAAATTGGCAGACATCCAGCATCTTGTTTCTTTTTAAAACAATGTGGATGATTTCATGATTAAAAAATGAATCTTTTAAATAAATACATTGTATCTGACATTTGCACTGACTGATTTGATAAATCTTTAAGTAAACAATGGCTTTACTACACTCCCTGTAGCCTCAAGCCACTGGCTTTCGATTCTGGAGTCCTTTTTTCACTGGGTTTCATAACCTGCCACTCGATACCCAGAAGGCTGATTAGGCAACATGCTGCCATTCTGCCCTTGAGGTGGCTGTACTCCATAATTTGGTCCCATCCATGGTGCAGAAGACTGAGTCTGACTGGTGAATAATGTGAAAGAAACAAAGGGGAGAGGAAATCCACTGATTAAAACAAACTAACGCCAAGGACAAATAACACACACAGGAAATGGGAAACATTTTTTCTTAAACCCAAATATAAGGATAACTGTTATGCCAGGGAAAGCAAAGCCTTTTAGTTAAGTTTTTTCTCTTAAAAACAAGCATCCCTGTATGTTGGGCAGTTTAATTTTGACAGAAATTGTAGCTAAGATAATACCCTTAACCTATAAACATTTATCTCCTTTGAAGCCAGCAAAACCCATTTCCCAGCACAGAAAGGAAAACTGTCCATCTTCAACTTGGCTAGGCATACATTGAAGAAGCCACTATCTGAAAGAAACTCAAGTCATTTGGTACAATAAGAACCAGCATTTATGTTGCTCAGAGAAGAAATTAAAATGATTATTAGCATATGTAACCTCATAAATTTTTTTAACATTACAAATATAAGATACTTTTTTAACCTGAAAAGTTTGATTTCCAGTTTCTTTTTCAGTAAGTAAAATGGCATAATTCAGGGTTTATAAGGAAGCTGGCCATATAATAATGAATGCATAAACTCTTTTGTATAGAAAAAAGCATAATGAATAAAACAACTAGCATCAAAATAAGTGTATCTAAGAGTGACCATTAGTCATGTGAAAAGTGACCATTAATCATGTGAAAAGCTTAATAGCTGTTAAGCACTTATTTTCTTACTAAAAAATTAATTGACTTATTATCAAGCATTACCAAAATTCATATGATCTTGATTATACTTCAAGGCAACATATTTCTTTTCTTTTCTTTTTTTAATAGAGACGGAGTCTCACTCTTGCTCAGGCTGGTCTCGAACTCCTGAGCTCAAGCAATCCTCCCGCCTGGCCTCCCAGAGCGCAAGGATTACAGGCATGAGCCACTTTGCCTGGCCTAAGGCAACATATTTCTAGGTAAATTTTTAAAGAGAAATAGTTAAAACTGTAAATTTAAAAACTATTCTATATTAAGTCCTTCAAAGGCTATGGTTATGCTTTACACAAGGTGCCATACTACTAATTACTTAAAATTTCTTTTGGCTGGTGCGTGGTGGTGTGTGCCTACAGTCCCAGCTACTTGGGAGGCTGATTGATTGAGCCCAGGAATTTGAGGTTGCTGTGAGCTAGGCCGACACCATGGCACTCCAGCCTGGGCAACAGAGCAAGACTCTGCCTCAAAAAAAAAAATTTCTTTTGACATTTTTAAAGGTTTATAAAGAAAAAGATCAAATATACTTACTTAAATCCTTGCTGGTTCCATGCCTGGCCATACATTCCATATGCAGGTACTTGCCAACCATTAGGCATATACTGGCCAATTTGTTGTGCATTTCCATACCATTGGCCCCACTGGCCATAAGGTTGTGGATATCCAATTTGATTCTGCTGTTAAGTAAAATTATAACAGATAATTTAGTATTACTTGAAGTTATTTGTATATATCTAGTCCTATTATTATTACCACAAATACTTAGCCAAAACACATATGGCTATCATTACAATTCAAATGACAGGATAAACAAGCGTTTAGTAAGTGACTGGTAGAAAAAAATACAAGTGAGGTTATACTGCTATAACTCTACATGATGCTCTGAATGGCATAGTCTTTCTAAGGCAGCAGGTGATGCCCTAGTAATAAATATTAAATTCAGTATAATGTGTAAGTGTTTGGTAAACTTTCCACATGATTGCTATATATAGGGAAGATATAAAGATTACTTATTCCTTTATTCCAGCTTACTTAAGAAACGTACACAGTTTAGGATTTTCTTACTCCCACTTCTGTGCTGCATTTACAACTTACTCATAGCAATCTTTGTGGTATTAAGTTTGAACCACTAAAGCTACCTGGAAGAACAAAAAGCAGTAAAATCTGGAAGGAAATACCTAAATATATTATAGCTTTATTTTCATTTCAGTTGAAAAAGATTTAATACCCTGTTAAATTTGTCAGAGCATTTTAAAATCCACTGTGTGAGCATGAGTCAAATGAGGCACTCACATTCATCATGTCATCACTACAATTCATGAACCACCACTCTGGAACTATAATACACATAGGAAGAGCCCTTATATACTATCATTTTAGCTATAAACTTACTAACAAGGATTATCAACAATCTCCATTTTAAAATAACTTTATTATTAGCCCAGAAATTACTTCTCAAAGTTAAGAACCCTCTCACCTGTTGCACGGGATTTATCATATCAAGAGATTCTTTGCCCCAATAGCATTTCACAACATGACCTTCAATGGTAGTACCATTAACAGAAACAATTGCATGTGCTGCACTTTCATGGGAATTGAACCTATTGAAAACAAAATTAAGAATCACCAATACATATTTCTTTAAATATTTATGAATAAAACCAATTTTTAAAAATCAGGGTGAGTTTGAGGTAAAACAGGCAGTTCACATAAAAGAATGAATAAAATGGCTTATTTTCTTTGCTATTTTTTCTCAAAGATCTTGTAGTTCTGGAGAAACTTGTGTTAAAAAGGAATGTGTTTTGCTGGACTTATGTTGGAAGATGAGACCTATAAAAAAAATGTCAAATATGCCATATGCTAGAGAAATTTCTATTTCTTTTTAACCAAGGTAAATTTTAAAGAAAACCAATAAGGTAAACGTTCAAAAATTATATGGGGAGAAAGTGTTTTTTAAAAAACCACTCCTACCGAACAAATGAATATCCTTTATCTGGAAAGACTCGAATTTCCATTATTTGTCCAAATGGCGAAAAAGTCTGACGCATTAGTTGTTCTGTTAGACAACAAACAAAAAGAAACCACATTAAGTTATATTAAAATCCTACAAATATTAAGCTTGGAATTTTAAAAATTAATGACATACAGTAAAGCTTCCATACCTGTTAGCCCAGAAGTCACACCTCCACAGTATACTGTACAGTTGCTTGGACTAGACTGATTTACAACCTCATCATATGACAGCTGTTTGGTGTTTGCTGGGGAGGAAAAAAGTTTATCTTTAATTCATTAAATAAATGTTCAGAAAGAGAAAGGCAGCATTAACTACACTACTGTAATGTTAATATTTACCTTGATCAAAATGCTTATATAACACATATTATACTTGAATTTAGGATTAAACCTCCCCCAAGAATGTCTAAAAAATTACCCAGTATTCTCTATTTAATAGGAGACTTGACATTAGAGATAATATCATTATTATTTAAAATTACAAAAATGAAAACTAAGTACATTTTTGAACAGTAGTCTTGATTTGCTTCTCATCTATTTCTGCAATAAGTCTCCGGGAACAGCTCTAACATTTAATATCTAGTGTATTTTTCTCCAAAATTCCACATTTCCTTTTCTTCTCCAATACACCTACACTCATATGTACTCTTTGGAGCTGGAGGCTTTCGGGTTGCCCAGTTAGTTCTGATTTGTCTTCCACCAAGCCACTGGCCACCCATCTGTTGAATGGCGTTTTCAGCATCCTGTTCCACACAACATTGGAAATAACAAAGAAGCCACTATTAGTTGATGTTAAATAATTTTTAGCAGTAGTGAAAACTTGGTGCTTTTCACAAATGTTTTTAAGTAAAAATGCTTTATGAAATACACAATACACGATAGTTTTCCTAAAATGCAATGGTGCTTCTTTTATGTGGATATCAGACTTTGGGAATGTTAATCATCTGAAAAAGTCATGAGCCTAATGAGGTAAATATCATAAAGTTCATGCAACAACTCAAGACTATTAAGAATGAAAATCTTATTTTAAACAATCCAACAAGCTTGCTAATGACAGTATTTGGTTTCTCTTTCATCTAACAAGCAAATACTGAGCAGTTATGTTCCAGGCACCAAGTTAAGAGCTAGGGATACACTGGTGAACAAGCACACATGGTCTCTTACATGGATATTACATTCTTTTGAGAGGAACAAATAAAGTAACATCAAGTTCCTGCTTAAGAAGTTGGAAGGACAGTGCTAGCATTTACTGAAATGGGGAGAAAGCCTGGGAAAGAGAAGGGGAACAGGTTTGAGGAAGAAACAAAGAGCTCCATGTTAAGTTTAAGATGATTGTGAGACAAGACCATTTGTTAGTAAGTATGGAGCACAGAGAAACAGACTGAACTGAAGATATAAAATTCAGAGTCATAAAGAATAGAGAGAGAAAAGGCCTGGGACAGAGCCCTGAAAAACAGCAAAATTTAAAAATTGAGTAAAGGAAAAATCCCTACCTAAGGTGACTAAGAAGGAGTAGCCAATGATGAAGGAAGAAACCCACAAAAGTATACTATCATGGGAGCCAAGAAAGCAGAGGTCAAGAGGTGATCTTGAATAGAATAGCACTGGTAGGAAGTGAGAATAAAAGCCAGCTTAGAGTGGACCAAAAAGTGAATGGGGTGTATCTTTTCTTTGCACATGTCAAATGTGTGCTTAACCTACTACTAAAGGAACAGGCAAATCCGAGGCTAAAAGTCTTTGAGACACATAAAAGGAAATGCATATTCTTCAAAAGAAACAAATATTGTTTACGACACTAACCAGTTTGAACTCCACGAGATGCTTAACTAATGTTATGGGTTGAATTGTGTCCCTCAAAATGATATGAAGTCCTAAACCCAGGTACCTGTGAATATAACCTTATTTGGAAATAGGGTCTTTGCAGATATAATTAGTTAAGATGAGGTCATACTGGATTAAGATGGGCTCCAAATCCAATATGACTCATGTCCTTATATTAAGATTATGTGGACACACAGAGAAAGAAGATGGCCACGTGAAGACGAAAGCAGAGACTGGAGTGACACAGCTACGAGTCAAAGATTGCTAAGGATTGCCAGCAAGTCCTAGAAGCTAGGAAGCATTCTTCCATTGAGCCTTCAGAGGGAGCTGAGGGTAACACGCGGACACTTGATTCTGGATTTCGAGTCTCCAGAACTTTGAGAAAATAAATTTTTGTTGCTTATGGTACTTTGAAATAGCCTCCCTAGGAAACAAATATAACTACTTACTTGCAAAAGAGGAAAACAACCTTTTTATGGTGTGTGTGTATGTGTATGCCAGTGGTTGTGAATGGGAAATGAAGTGGAAGCATACGCAAACAACTCTTTTGAGAAATTTGATCCTGAATTATAGCAGAGAAATAGAGATACAGGTGGGCAAGGGATGTGAGGATCAAGTGTAGTTTTGATTGAGAGATACTAGATGTTGATGGGAATGATCCAGTGGAGAGGGAGAAACTGACGGCACAGGACAGTAAGAACAAGGATGGCACATATATGATTCCCTTCATAGGAAATGTTCAGAATAGGCAAATCTATAGTGACAGAAAGTACATTAACAGGTGCTCAGGACTGGCGAGAGGGGCACGGAAGGAAAAGGATAGTAACTGCTAATAGACATGTAGTTTCTTTTAAGGATGATTAAAATACTCAAAAATTGATTGTATTGATAGTTGCATAACTGTGAATTCCCCCAAAACCACTGAATTGTATACTTTTTTTTAAGAGATGGGGTCTTGCCATGTTGCCCAGGCTGGAGTGCAGTGGCTATTCATAGGTGTGATGATACTGCCTACAGCCTTGAACTCCTGGGCTCAAGCGATCCTCCGACCTTAGCCTCTTGAGGAGCTGGGACTATAGTGCCATAGTGTTAAATGAGTCGTATACTTTAAAGGTATGGATTTTATGGTATGTGAATTATATCTTAACAAAGCTGTTGTTTAAAAAACAATAAAGCAGCAGCAGCACAGGATCAAAGTTCTGAAAGGCAAGAGGTGGGAACCCAATCATAAGTGATTTGGCCATTGACAAGAAGGACCTTTTCTCTATTGTAAAAGGAGGAAGAAGGGAAGGTGGATGAATTTTATGTAACTTTGGTGGCTGAAAGATGAGGAAATTCGTGTATGATAGCTTCTTCTTTTCTCAGTGAAGCATGATATAATGCTGTCAGCTTAGGGTGATGATGAGGAAAGGAGGAATATTTGAGAAGATGGGGTGGTAAGGAATAAAATAGTTACCATGAACGATGGGGAATCAAATGTATTAGAGAAACATAAGTTTGTGAAGACAGTACTGAGTACTCATCTAAAGTGTATGACCATTAAATGAGAAGCAAAACCAGATGGACTCAGTTTTTCTCCAATAACATTCAGTTACTCTGGGGTAGGTAGAGAAGCTAAGTTTATTGAGATTTACTTAGCATGTACAACATGGGAAGAGAGGTAAGGAAGTTACCTCTTGTAAGTAATTGCAATCAGGGCTGTGGCACTGCATAACACCAGAGACAAGAATGAATCACAAATTTTATAGAAGTTGAAATGTAAACTTGGGAAGATTAAATTACTTACTCAAAGTTACATCTATCATATGATGGTTGTCAGGATTCATACCCATCTCTTAACTCCAGAAGCCATACACAGATATCCTTTGCTATTTGACTCTAGTTCATAGTAAATACGTATTCAATAGTGATTTTTATACAGCAGAAGCTTATATTCTATAATCTCACAGGGGAAAAATGAGTTCCTAGCCTACCTGACCCCCCAGCTTGTTTCCTTAAATCTTATTATGAAACCTATAAATCAATCCTCTAAGGAACTCACACTAAATTGTGGCTATCAATTCATTGCACAAGGTATTTTTCTACCTTTCCAAAATATTATGCTGTGATTAATAGCAAAGCTTTCAGAACCAACTACACTGTCATAATTTTTATTTTCTTACCTCACAGGAAAAAAAAAATCTTTTAATTGGTAGATGGGACACATGTATGTCTAAGCTTGTATATTTCACCTCTCAATGTGTTTTATCGCTTTCGACTTTTCTTCTAATACATGGGGTTTTCCGATCTCTTGAGTTTTCCCATTTTTTTCGCAGGGTTTTCTACTTTCTTTTTTTTTTTTTATTGAGACAGAGTCTCACTCTGTTGCCTGGGCTAGAGTGCCGTGGCGTCAGCCTAGCTCACAGCAACCTCAAACTCCTGGGCTCAAGCGATCCTCC